CCCTCCCACTCCCTTCACTCTCTCACTCTCAAACATTCCCTTCCCTTCCTTCTCTCCCCTCTCTCTCTCTCTCCAACATTCCCTTCCCTCTCCCCATCTCTCTATGCACCCCCTCACTCTATTCACCCCTGCTCCCCCTCACTGTATGCATCCCCTCTCTCTATGCATCCCTCTCCCCCTCTCTCTAGTCTATGCACCATCTTGCACCACCTCTCTCTGCACCCCTCCCCCCTCACTCTATTTACCCCCTCTCCCCCTCACTCCATGCACCATCTTGCACCACCTCTTTCTATGCAACCCTCTCCCCCTCTCTCTAGTCTATGCACCATCTTGCACCACCTCTTTCTATGCAACCCCTCTCCCCCTCACTCTATGCACCCCCTCTCTATCCCTCTAATTGAATTACTATTTACTAGTTGCTACTTGTTCCTACTGTTCACTGTCCTGGAAGAAGATTATCTTAACCAACTAATATACTCTAACTGCATCAAGAATTAATAAGCTTTTGATATGATTTAATCAATGTGTATTAAGTCCAGTCTCTCATCCCAGGGGATATAATCCAATTTGGTCAACTGGCAATAAAACTATGTTATCGTGTTAATTTGCATTTGATCTCCAGGAATGAAATACAACAACAGGACAACTTGTAATTTATTATTCATATTTCATCTGGGGTTGGTTAAAATATAATGAGAAACCCCTTTAAACTTTGTCTACAACAATGTGACCTTGGTTAAGAGAGAGAGCAATGGGGTTTAATGTCCGCTAGACACACACTATGTCATTTTGGGACTGACATAGGGTTCAGTTTTATTTCAATAATTCGCTTGTCAGGGGTTGGTTTCGGACTAAAATTAGATTTTTTGAACTACAAGATATAGTGGATAGCTATCTGTAGCAGGTGGTATCAGGTGTTACAGAGTGACGGGGTATTTCGTGAACCCAATGCAAATCATGTGGTTTTGGGACTAACATATGGTATTTTTTATTTCAATAACATGTGACTCAATGACAGTCCTTATGATCAAAAGTGCAGATGCTTGTTAGACCACTCACCCACCACCTTTTGCCCACCAACTTTTATGGGATTGCCACAAAATTATATTTATGTTACAAAAATTAGATTCATCTTACAAAAATTAGATTCATCTTACAAAATTATATTTATGTTACAAAATTATATTTATGTTACAAAATTATATTTATGTTATAAAATTATATTCATCTTACAAATTTAAATTTATGTTACAGAATTAGACTTCTGTTACAAAATCAGATTTATGGGTAGTGGGAGTTAATTTAGTTATTAGTTTGTCTGTCAAAAAAAATGGAATTTGACGTATTAAAAGAGCAAGACTGACCCACCCACTAAAAATGCTCCTACTAAGACTACTCCCATTTGGTCTAGGGGCAAAGTAAATAAGGGGGGTCAAAAAACTGAACCGCACCACACCATAAACCATTACACAGCCATCTGACTCTACAAATGGAAACGCTTGAATCTGACACAAAGACCAAAATGGTTCACAGTGGACAAAATTGTCACAGTGACTAGCCTTCATTTTCATTTCAACTCAATAATCTCCTGCTGTGATAAAACGACCTTCAAGTATTTTCCAATAATTGATGACTACAATTAAATTACATTTTGAATGGCCAATCAGCTGACAGAATACAAGAGCACAATACATCAGTCATCTGGTGAATGTCTCCTGATTAACTATTGGTCAAATGAACAAACATTAAAAGCTAATTACAGTTTGTTGATTGGTTAATTAAGCCCAGAATGCTACCCCATGGGACTACTTTAGTTACATAACCAAATCACTGCCATTTCTGCTACTGATGTAATAATCTCTCTCCTGTAGAGATGTAGTTCTGTTAAAATGGCTGATTACAAGCAACATGGATGTTTATAGAATTGGCTGCTCATCGTCAATCATAAAATGTCAGCAGATTTTTTTAAACATGTAAATTGAAATAAATGGCTTTTTTAAATATAATATTTGATGGGATATTTATGTCGATTTGTATAATTTGTACAGGTAGAATTTATCCAAGGGAGCACCTGTCACTGATGTTTTTTTGAGGGATATTTTATCTTTAATAGATACATCAATCCAACAATGATTCTGTTATGTTCAGTATTTTTTTAAAATAATATTTTGGGGGATATTTATGTTGATTTGTATAATTTGTACAGGTAGAATTCATCCAAGGGAGCACCTGTCACTGATGTTTTTTTTAGGGATATTTTATCTTTAATAGATACATCAATCCAACAATGATTCTGTTATGTTCAGTATTTTTTTAAAATAATATTTTGGGGGATATTTATGTTGATTTGTATAATTTGTACAGGTAGAATTCATCCAAGGGAGCACCTGTCACTGATGTTTTTTTTAGGGATATTTTATCTTTAATAGATACATCAATCCAACAATGATTCTTTCTGTTAAGTATTTTTTTTAAAATAATATTTTGGGGAATATTTATGTCGATTTGTATAATTTATCCTTGTAGTATTCATCCAAGGGAGCACCTGCCACTGAAGTTTTTTGAGGCATGTTTTATCTCTAATAGATACATCAATCCAACAATGATTCTGTTTTGTTCAGTATTTACAATTGAAATGAAATGGGGTTTAACGTCCTACTGTTCTGCTCCTAAACTGGGCTAATCAGTATTTACAAATATATGACGAAATTAAATTAAAATTTTGTCTGCATATATATTCAGTATTCGCTGCAAATGATATAAACGGGATATGATCAAAACAAGCCAGAGCCACCTATAAACTTCTTTAAAACCATGTGATGGGTCTCTTTTTTAAGGTTTTAAAAAGGTTTTGTTTTCTTAAATAAGTAATTAATTTGAAAATAAATCAGCAGAAAATGGGCCTTTAAAATTATATTTCTTCAACAGCTACGATCCTACACACATGCAACTTAAAGGGTTACACACACACACCGGGGTTGGATGGCCGAATGGTTAGCGTGTGCACGTTGTATCATAAGGTCTGTCATTGAGTCAACAGGCGTAGTTTCGATTCCCTGGTTGTACGTGACAAGGAATAGAGTCGCCTGTCCAACCTCCTGGGATTTCTCTGGGTTCTCCGGTTTCCTCCCACTGCTAAAGATCCCTACGCACAAGCAAATTATTGAAATAAATTGAACCATATGTTAGTCCCGAAATGGCCTAGTTTGTGTCGAGTGGCGTTAAACCCAATTTCTCTCTCTCTGTCTCCCCGGTATGACGAGATAACTAGAATAATGTGTTAATAAGCAGACATGTCATTTCAGGGGTTTTTTTGTACGATATAATTTATTGTGAATGAATCACCTGGGAATAAAGATCTGATAAATTACATCGTTTCAATTATAAAAATCGTTTGATGTTACACATCGATTATTACACAAACGACAAGCAGTGTAATATATAAACCCTGACCTCTCTGACCTCTGACCTTACAAATATCATTTATATAAATCAAAGCAGACATTGAGATAGGGTTTTACATCCACTTTAGGGCTACCACTCTTTTCAATAATTCATCTAAGCATCTTTATCAGTGGGGGGTGAGGATGGGAAGTGGGGGTGGGGGGTGGTGGGCAGGTTCCAGAGTTACAGAACAAAAGCCATGAGATCTGACAGTGATGTATAGTTGTGCCCCTCCACGATTCTCGACAAGGAGGTCACAGAATATTTGGGAACTTGTAATTATTATTTCAATGAACACTAAAAGATTAGACCTCAAATTAAAACAAGGAACTTCAGGACTAATATACCAATTTATGGCACCAAGAAACTTCAGGACTACTATACCAATCTATAGCACGAAGAATCTCTGTAATACTATCAATATTCATATCATTAAACTATATTAACTGTCAAAGTCAATTTATTGTATATTTGGCTAAATTGGTGGCTGGTGATATTCGGGCAAAATAGTAGCATGTACAAGGATATTACTCCAGGACACTTGATAGGTGCCGATCAAGCGTATAGGATATTACTCCAGGACACTTGATAGGTGCCGATCAAGCGTATAGGATATTACTCCAGGACACCTGATAGGTTCTGATCAAGCATGTAGGATATTACTCCAGGACACTTGAATCAATGATTGACCTTGATCTACAGCCATAGGCGTACAGGGAAATTTTTGACTGGGGGGGCGGTGGTGGTTGGTGCCCAAAAAATGTAGTTAGGTTCTTAGTATGTTACATAATAATAATAAATTCGCTGTTAAATTGGACACATTCAAGAAGACAATATTTTTTTTATACAACTTTTACAAAGTACAATTGTGTGCCCAAATTTTCCCAGCATTTGGTGCCCAAAATGGGGGGGCAGTCGCCTCCCCAGCCCCCCCAGCTCGTACGCCTATGTCTACAGCAGCAGATCTCAGTATTTTTGATAATTAAACAATATAATATTGGTGTGTGAAGGGTGATAATGTGTAAAGATGTAATATTTATATAAATATAAGAAACACAAGAGAGGAATAGTACATTAAAGAGACAGTTACATATAACCCCGATAATATTCAAACATTTTCAAGGTACATTTGGGTTCACTATAACACAGTAGTTGGGGTCCATGTTGAGTCTCCTATATAGACCCAAGTTCTTCACTATAAGGATGTCGGACAGGCCCAATAAATGAGAGAAATGGGGTTTAATGTCCACTCGACACAAACTATGTCATTTTGGGACTAACATATGATTCAATTTTATTTGAATAATTTGCTTGCGCATAGGGGTCTTTAGCAGTGGAAGGAAACTGGAGGACCCGGAGAAAACCCTCCTTGTCACGTACCACCGGGGAATCGAAACCACGCCATTTACTATTTAGAACCTTGTCTTTAATAGCCCAGTCGGTGCAGAAAAGTAGGACGTTAAAAATTCCATTTCATGTTATTACTGTTTAACACCCTGTCACTTTAAACATACTATCCCTCGGCAGTAAAAAAAATATAAAAATATTCAACTTACCATGGGTGACCCATCCATGTTTGCAGGATTCACATGTTCGTATGCACTGTTTTTCTGGAGAGAAACATTCACAAGTACAGTTCGGGTGGGTACAGCGAATAGCCTGCAAGAAAAAACTAGTCTTTGAGGACATATGACGCATAATTCCCTGTAAGCAATCCATGTGGAGGGCAGACATCCGGATCCGAACATCCGAGTAGGATAGAGTACCAACTCCACTATTCGTACTTAAATTCATGTCTTCAAATATAGAAAATTTTTCACATAATTTTAAAAGTTTCTTAATAAAAAATCCATGTTTTCAAATATACCAACTTTTCATAAGTTCAAAAGTTAGAATTCATATTCGACACTGTCGATGTTCGTTAACATGATAAATCACAGTAAATTCAATATCCCATTTTACAATTCCAAGTTTCAAAACAAATCCCACAAGTCACATCATGGAATGCAGCAGAAATAAATTTCACACTTCTTTTATACTTCAAAGTCAACAGTAACTTTTAATATCGTAAAAGTTTCGGAATGGCTACTGTACATCGCTAAACCATTTAAAAACTTTTTAAACTTTAAAAAAAAAAGGAGCCTTGACTTAAATAAATTGTTATTACATCAGAAAAATACAGGTGTTCATGTTAATATGTTTCTCCTTTCTAACCACGTTTCTTCAATAACATCAGATACCAGGAACTAAACTTAAAACACATGCCAGCAAAATACAATTCAATTTTTAAAAACTCCTTTTAAGAAATTCCTGTTGAGATTTTGATTGCCTGTGACGGTATTCTTGGTTTCCATTTACGTTACTACGTAATCAACAGACTTGTTAGCTAGAGGAACAGATTATGTACAATCACTGCACGTGAAAATGGCATTTAAAACTCTAGAATTCGAGAATGATAAAAAAAACATCAAAATCTGGACGTTAGTCGGTATTCTCAAACTGTGCAACACTACGCAATAACCAATCAGCATTTAATAGAGATATTCGTGGTATGCTGATGCCCGTAAAGTGATGACAAGGTACACAAGTTATATGTATGATGAATAAGAAGAAACATTGGCTACTGGGAGTTCTCTGACTATGGTCGTGTAGCCGTATTATATGAAGAGTTGCCTTGTTAAGCTAACTAATCGTAACACATGTGTTAACTCATCAAACCGTTTATCACACTATGCTTTATTAACTATTCCATGTGATTCTTATTCATTGATCTTCATTCACTGGGCTACATCCTGTCGACTGTGAACAACTTTTATTTCTTTATTATTACACCCTATCTCTGCCTTTTAATTTCTACCCAAATTCCATGTTTATGACTTATAATTCTCAAATTTGCATTTGATATAAATTGACTTTTTGTATTTAAAAAACTGCTTTTAATTTCTACACAACTTCCATGTTTATGACATAATTTACAAATTTGCATTCGATAGGGCCTATAAATTTAAAAAACTGCCTTTTAATTTCTACACGACTTCCATCTTTATGACTTATAATTTTCAAATTTGCATTCGAAATAAATTGACATTTTACACTTAAAAAATTGTCTGCATGAAGTTTTTTGGTAGGTTCAGGTTATTTTTTATCAAGTGCAAAGTAGCTCATTTTAAATTATTTCCTGTCGTCATTAGTCCAGTAGGTTGATAACCTCCATTACATTTCATTTTAATTTATCTAACACCTTGAAAATATTATAATCTTTTAGTTTTGACCATACCAGAGAGAAAAAATTGTACAGACTTATTTTGGTGTTAAAGGCGCAAAGAAATGGAATAAAATGGGATTTAACGTCCTACTTTTTTTAAACACAGACTGGTAGGAATGAGAAAAGAAAGATCAAGATGCACACAGTAAATTGCATGTGTAATATAAATTAGAATTTTATTTATAAATAATAGAAAAGGCGGCTCTTCCGTCTCAAATTACCTGAAACGATTAAACTTTTATGACCGCAAAGAACCTGATGGAATGATGGAATCAACTGCACAGCCAAATTCCATTTTGAATCACATCATAGGTTTCATTTGAATATAATTAAATATCTAAGTAGCAATGAGTCTATGTAAAATGAAATAATTTGTCGTTAGTAATCAGAAGTTGGTGGTAAAAGAGGCAATAAGTTTATGCAAGTCGGAATAATTTGTTGTAGTTATTCAACCTTTAATTAGACTAATTGTGAGATAGAGAGAGAGAGAGAGAGAGAGAGAGAGAGAGAGAGAGATGGGGTTTAACGTCCACTCGACACAAACTAAGTCATTTCGGGACTAATATATGGTTCAATTTTACTTTAATAATTCGTTTGCGCGTAGAGGTATTTTAGCAGTGAGAGGACACAGAGAAAACCCACGAGGTTGGACAGGCGATCCTACTCCCTGTCACGCACAACCTGGACATCAGTTGTAGAATATGTATATTAATTTAGAAATGTTAAGAGATTCCACCTTGGTCCTTCCAATAATCTCAAATAACCTCAATTGTTTATCTAGCTATAACATCACTTACTGTAAACAAACCTTATACTGGTAGTCAACTAATTTACGAGAGAGAGAGAGAGAGAGAGACAGAGAGTTTAACCTCCACTGGACACAAACTAGGTCATTTCGGGACTAACATATGGTTGAATTTTATTTCAATAATTTGCTTGCGCGTAGGGGTCTTTAGCAGTGGGAGGAAACCGGAGGACCAAGAAAAAACCCACGAGGTTGGACAGGCGACTCTACTCCTTGCCACGTACAACCGGGGATTCGAAACCATGGCAGTTGACTCAATGACAGACTATATGGTACAGAGCGCACGTGCTAACCATTCAGCCACCCAACCCCCCCAACTAATTTACGAATAAAGAGTTTTCAAACATTGCATGTGAGAAATATGGTGGTCATTTAATAATATGTTCTGTTCTTACTCCATGCCTAGGGTCGCCTGTTCAACCTCGTGGGTTTTCTCCGGGTCCTCCGGTTTCCTCCCACTGCTAAAGACCCCTATGCGCAAGCGAATTATTGAAATAAAATTAAACCATATGTTAGTCCCGAAATGACCTAGTTTGTGTCGAGTGGACGTTAAACCCCATCTCTCTCTCTCTCTCTCTAACTCCATGCCAAGATAGATAATGTAAAATGAAAATATTGAAAATTTTATTCAAATTACTTTATTCTGAGCCAAGTTATCACCTTTTGTAGTTTTGACAAGATTTGTGCATTGTGCCTCGCTTTTCCATTTTCAAAATTAAATTTTTAAATGGCGAACCTTTGTAATCTAGTTAAAATCTAGAGTATCTGATGCCATCGACAGTTGATTATGGTCTTGTTTTTTTAATAAAAGTTTATATAAAGAAAGACCTGCAATAGGCAGATTTATTCAATAAATAATTTACTTTTAAACTTTATCTGTAAATGGTAATAGCTTTCTTCTCCTTATTTAACCAATTCGTTTTGAATCGATCTTATTTTCAATTGACAATAATTTTTGTCTAATTTCTCCAATAAATCATTATTGGCCTCGAAAGCGTTAAAGATGCTGAAAATCTTGCGCAATAATCAGTTAAGCATGAATCAAAGACACAAACTTCTTTATCAGTTTCACAATTAGACAAAAGGAAGAAAAAAAAGCCTTTAGGTCCATTAAAAATTTTGATTAAAACGATAATATTTCATTATCATTGTTAATTGATTAAGCACACAAAAGAAGTACACCATGGCTAATTAACGACTCATGAATTTTTAATATAATTAAACGAAATGAACATTTGTCAAATACTGTCCTCATTCCCAAGGGCGCGGAAATTTGATTACTAGAATCTAAGATATCAGCGAGAAAAATACAATAACGAGCGATATGACACAATCTTGATAACGGGGGCCAGCTTATTGGAGACTCCACGATACAATAAATGTCAAGACAAAGACAATGTCATTAACAACCAATAATCGGTTCCTGGTAATTGGATACAAGCCATTCCGACAAATTACATAAAAAAATATAAAAAAATATCACCTCGTATCGCAGGGGTCACAGCCGTAAATATATTTCACTCATACGTACACAAGCAGGAATTGAACATCTCTCCAAGTTATTTAGTCAATACTCTTAGATGTCAAACTATGAGAAATGCTGTCCGCAAAAACACATGGTGCTAACGCAAAGCTTGGAGACGTGATTAAAACCCAGAGCATTATCTTTGCCTTCCTTCGTCTCTCTCGCTTTCAATTAATAAATTGACAAATTGTTGCGGAGTTTGTGTAATAGCTAGGATACGAGAGACAGTTTACGAGGTTGTATTTAAACACAGATCCTGATTTATCAGACTCCGTGAGACACTTGTCTTCGACGTGACCACGAACTAAGACGGGGGCTTGTGAAGGGTTTTGAGTTCTCGCTGTCATTTGGTATGATGGAAAGTGTCGGGACTCTCTCCATCAAGTTAATTGGAATGATGTCTGATTGGAAATCTGCCATCACGACAGTTCTGTCATACACGGATATAATAACAAAAGAACTACTTGAACGAAAAACTTTCCAGCGAGACGTACAAGGATGGCTAATAACAAGTGCTACTGTTCCGCCAAAATGGTCAAAATAATCGTAATCTTGGAGTGTTTGTGGCAACTTCTACATTGATTTCATCTCTATAGCCAATCAAAGTGAAACAAATGACACAAATTTCTAATCTTTAGAAATAAAATGTCAGAAATTTTATTTGGTTGATTCCACTTAATTTGATAGTTAAATATTGCCCTAACGGACGTTTATCAAAGCACTTCAATATTGATTACAAACATTTCTTTTAATATTTTTCTCAAAATTGACAACTTTGAAAGTAAATGAAATGAAATGGAGTTTAACATCCTACTGTTCTGCTCCGACTGGGCTAATGAAGACAGGAATGTTGAATGGAAGTTTCACATCAACACCATATTTGGTCATTCTGAGACTAATACATGCTTATTTTTCTATTTTTTTATGTTTACTAGTGTAATGCAAATTCGGGAGAATTTTGCCCAGGCAGCCATCCTTTAATTCCGACAGACAATGTATCCGTTACATGCACTAATAACAAACGTCATCCCTGTACCCTGACAGGTGGGATCTGGGGTCTAAAAATATTCTCATACCGAAATGAAATGGGGTTTACCATCCTACTTTTCAGCCCCAACTGGGTTTATGGTGGCTCATTGATCCCTGTGGTTGCCAAGAAAGTACACCTCAGGCGGTAGTTTGCCAAAAAACGTCCAGAGTTAAATGTAATAAACTATCAATTTAGGAACTAATCGGAATTATTCAGCTATGTAATTGCATAAAACATAATAAGTAATACACCTATAAGAAATGCAAACTAGGTATCTTGAAGAAATCAAACTATAAAAGTGTATTTATATAAAGGCATAAAATAAGGGGCGATAATCCAAAATTAGGAAACTGCAGAAAATTTTAAATAATTATTCAATTAGCTGATTACCCAATTTGTACAGTTGGAATTCGAAATAAGAGTAGGAAGTCGGACCTGTTTCTAGACAAAATTACCCTCATAGCATACATCATTAGCCCAGTTGGTGCAGAGAAGTAGGATGTTAAACCCCATTTCATTTCCTATTGTAATGGAGAGAGAGAGAGAGAGAGAGAGAGAGAGAGAAATGACGATTAATGTCCACTCGACACAAACTAGGTCATTTCGGGACGAACACATGGTTCAATTTTATTTCAATAATTCGCTTGCACGTAGGGGTCTTTAGCAGTGGGAGGAAACCGGAGGACCTGGAGAAAACTCACGAGGGTGGACAGGCGACCCTACTCCTTGTCACGTACAACCGGGGATTCGAAACCACGCCAGTAGACTCAATGACAGACTTTATGATACAGCCTGCACGTGCTAACCATTCAGCCATCCAACCCCTCTTATTGTAATGGAGGTTTGAAACAGTTATAATTATATATCAATGGGGAATGAATTTTTTTTTTTTAAGACATAAAATCCAACGATTCCAAAATAAATGGTGTGATTGTATTAAAGTGACTGTGAATACTGAATGCAGTAGCTGTAATACTAGTCAACTGCCCACGTAACGAGCGAAACCACAATTGGGGTAACGAGCCACCACTTAATCAATACACATTCACAGATCGATGCGAAAAACGTCTAAACAGAGAGGACACATAATATCATCGCAATATGACAAATCCCACTGAGTTGGACTGGACAATAAGCACGCCACCATCATAGAAATTCTGATTAAAATGATTTAATGTCATTATCAGTCCCTTTGACAGATCCAGGAATATCGTGGAGACCTTCGGCATGTACGAGGAGACAAACGTGCATGATAAATAACAAACCAGAGCTAGTCCTCTTTCAATCATCTCTAACTCGTTTAAACTCATTTATTGGCCAGGCCACGTCTATTGACACAAGGACTCCGATATCTTCACTCGAATCCCATTCCATCAACGTTTCTACTCCACTTAAAACAGAATACAACATCATATTGTCAACAAACTTGTCTCACAGTCAAAATCTGGCCATGCTTCTTTTTTTTTAAAGTCACTGATTATAATTTCTATTTTTGAGACAATATCTTGTTTAATTTAAATGTAATTAAAAAAATCAAATATGGTAGGTCAACATCGTAAATAACCCCTCAACTAGGATTTGATCGAATTATATAAAGAAAGAGAGAAAGAGAGAGAGAGAGAGAGAGAGAGAGAGAGAGATGTGATGCCATCTGCCTAATACTAGTAACAGTAACCAGTCTATAAATAGCTCTCTGTCTCCTGTATACTGGTATATTCACCCTACCTACAGTTTTCTACAACAAGGTTCCACAAGAGAGAGAGAGAGAGAGAGAGAGAGAGAGAGAGGCAGAAATATATTCAGTTATATTCACCCTACCTACCGTTTTCTACAATAAAGTTCCACAGATGTTAGTTTGAAAATGCGACTGAAAATGTATTTAATTTTTTTTACATTGACATGGCCGATAATTTGTGTAGCAGACTCCCCAATCTCATCCCCAATGCTCTACTGCGGGAGGGGGAGAGGAAAGTTGTTAGGGGCCCAAAACAAATCTATGCTTGTTTTCGTATCCTATATGCTGTAATTTAGTTATATAATTTTAAACATTGCTGATAAATATTGTTTAAAAACAAATATTGTGGAACTAGAATTGTTCATTTATCTATTTCATATCCAGAGACCATTTAAACACTATTCATCAAAGATTTGTACATGTGTCCAGTTTAAAGCTGACCATTCAATTTTGATAATGAGTGTCCAATTTACAAGCGTTTAATTTCTCAATCACTGTTAAAAAAAATAAACAACCAAATTGATGTATAATGATTAATTTATGAACAATGGTCAGGAAATTAAATACTTGTAAATTAGACACTCATTATACAAATTAATCAGTCAGCTTTAAACTGGATACAAGTACAAATTAGATGATTTTTGGTGATTTTAAACGATTTTTTCAACAAAGATTTGATATTAAACGAATGTGAAAGAAATTAGTGCTAGATACACAAGATTAAATGATACCTGGGTTACAGTGTTACACACTTCATCAAAGATTTGAAAAAAAAAAAAAAAGACTAAAAACAGAAAAAAAGTACTAATGGCGTAAAAAACCCCAACACAAATGTGATTAGTATCTGTTTTTTTTACTATGTCTGACGTAGAAAGGATGAAGCCTAAACTGGCAGCCATCTTGATTTATTATTACAAAGATTAACATATGGAAGTTGACAAGTACCCACAAAACAAAAATTTGAAATGGATTTGGTTTTTTTATAAAAAGAGAGAGATATTCCAATTTATTTTATCTTTTTAAAGTTTCTAAAAGCTTTGGGAGGGATGGATGGCCGAGTGGTTAGCGCCTGCACTGTATCATAACGCCTGTCATTGAGTCAACTGGCATGGTTTCGATTTCCCTGGCTGTACGTGACAAGGAGTAGGGTCGCCTGTCCAACTTTGTGGGTTTTCTCCAGGTCTTCTGGTTTCCTCCCACTTCTAAAAAACCCTACACGCAAGCGACTTATTGAAATAAAATTGAACCATATGTTAGTCCCGAAATGACTTAATTAATGTTGAGTGGACCTTAAACCCTCCCTCTCTCTCTCTCTCTCTCTCTCTCTCTCTCTCTCTCTCTCTCCCTTATATAAATCATATCTAAATTCAGTTTTATTGGAAGTAAAAGTTGAAAATTACCAGAATACTTTTTTTGACGTCCATTTTATACATAGGCCTAAGTTATAATATGCATAATTTAATATACAAATTTTGCTTACATAAATTTTCTAAATATGTCAGAATATACAATTTTTTTTTAAGATAAAGTTTTACCTAAAAATCGATTTTTACAAAAAAGTAACTGTTTTGGAGCTAAAGGTTAGCACTACTGTAAAACGTCAATAACAAGTTCCGCCATCATGAAGTGACGTAGGTATGTTTACTTAAACCTACTGCCAAGACTATCCTAAAATTAGTCCTCGTAGGTGAAATGGAACAAAATTTTCCTTCACATATTTCAAAATGGTAGCAAAGTTTTTAAAAATAACTACTTGGAAATTCAAAGTGGGAAACCATAGATAATAAGTTTTAATACATTCCATGGTGTGATTTGGAGGTGAAAAGAGAGAAGACCAGCTCTTCTTCAACTCATCCTTCTGTGTGTATACCATACCTATATACCTAGCGATAACCTAGTTTCCTCCTGTATACCACACTTCGTATACCACACTAAATCACATCTAAATAATGACTTATATTAATATATCATTAACAACAACCAAATATAAACAAAAACACAAAGTTTAAAAGGTAGAAAACAGGTGAATAATATTGTAAAATATAAAATGGTCTTACCTCCAGCGGTTTCATGGTAATGGCAGACTGAACATACTGGTTACAGTGACAGTATTAAGGTGCTCTTTCGTTGCTGCTACCACACCAGTCGCCTATCAAACAGAAGCCAAATTTAGAACACTGTGATGATGAGTTGGGATGTTGGGACCAATGTTGTCTTATATTCTACCTACTTTATCTATCTCTCTACTCAGTCAGTGCCAATGGCACCAAAGTTATATATCGTGTTCTAGATTACAGTTTGCACCATTAGTTACAAAGTTTGGAAACTTTTAGCCGTCCTCTTTTGGCCCTAGATATAATATTTGACTCTTGATGGTATCATTTAAACAGTTTGAATTATATCCATTTTATCCTGTCTTCGTGTCTTTTTGAAGATGTTTTTGGAATGAGCCTTAATTTAATGACTCTGTTACGATTTTGCAGGCGAAAGAGGTTCAAAAAGTTTCAAATATTTCAGCAGCTGACTATATATGTAACTTTTATAAGACTTTGAGTGAAGGTCCTCATAATTAGAAATTTTGAAAACTTTTAGAAGTTGTCTTTTGTCTTAATTTGATGACATTTCTTTCTTTGTATTGAAGTTTGGAAACTTTTAACAACTGTCCATTGTCTCAATTTGTGGACTTTTCTTTTTAATTAAAGTTTGGAAGATTTTAACAACTGTTATTGAAGTTTGAAAACTTTTTTAACAACTTTCTCATGTCACAATTTGAAGATTTTATTTTTAAGTTTGAACTTTTGGATTCTCATGTCAAATTTTGTATTATGATTGTGGAGTTGTCGTTCCTCCAAATATTCTTTAACCTCTTAAACAGTTTATTTCTGATTCTAAAATGCAGCGGGGGGGGGGGGGGGATGGTTAACGAGTGCACATTGGATCATAAGGTCTGTCATTGCATCACATGGAGTGGTTTCGATTCCCCACTTTTACATGACAAGGAGTAGGCTCACCCGTCCATCCTCTTGGGTTTTCTCTACGTGCAAGCGAATTATTGAAATAAAATTAAACCATCCATTAGTCTCAAAATGACCTAGTTTGTTTCGAGTGGACGTTTAACCCCATTTCTCTCCCCGTTATGGAAATCTACTTTAAAGGCCCTGATTGTCATTTACGAGATTTCGTCGAAGTGGAATCTGTAAACGGGATATCAATCGAAAAATGGTTCCATTTCGTCCAGTATTCACGAAGAATTGAAAATTTGTCAAGATTCGGCATCTAATGTCGATGATATGACGCAGAATATTGTCAACAAAATTCAGCCTTACCTATGTTTTCGTTGAAACCTTTCAATGGGTCGCTTTATATAACTTAATAGAATCCAAGTAATGAGATAATAAATGGTTGGTATTCTGTTCTCTTAATTAAATGTTAAAATAATCAATGCAACGACGAATAACTTTAAAATGGTGACAGGAAGATATATGGTAACGTTTATCACATGAATAGGAATATCTGTCACAGTAATTAAATAATATTTTTAACTGAGTCACGCGACTTTTAGTTTATTTGAGATCTGCTGGTAAAAATATACGAAATTTACAAACAAGTCCACCACTTCCACTATTTAACGAGTCTACGACATTTTAACTTGATTACATAAACACATTTTCCTGTCAACTAGGACTGTTTTGTATTTGTAACCTATTTTTGTCTACAAAAAAGACATATTTTCATTTAAAAAAGAAAAGAAAACCACGAATTAAATATGTGATTGAGTGGAACTTGTATTAAAGAGAGAGAGAGAGAAAAATGGGGTTTAACGTCCACTTGACACAAACCAGGTCATTTCGGGATGAACACATGGTTCAGTTTTATTTCAATAATTCGCTTGCACGTAGGGGTCTTTAGCAGTGGGAAGAAACCGGAGGACTTGCAGAAAACTCACAAGGTTGGACAGAGGACATTACTCCTTGTCACCTACAACCGGGGAATCGAAATCACGCCAGTTGACTCAATGACAGACCTTATGATGGAACTTGTATTAAACACAGATATAAAATTCACTGATGTATATAGACTCTCCCTCCCAAATTCTCTGAGAATAATATTTCAGTTTCTAATGTCAACCATTATTCAATAAAGTCCTGCCCTGTTAACGTCTTTAACAACAATTTTACTCAATACTTTGTGATCCCAGTAATGTTTGAAAATATATATTTTTTATGTCTTTTTTAACTGTAAAATGGATATTTTTTATGTCTTTTTTAACTGTAAAATTTCCAATATTACCCTTTCTCCAGTCCCATAAATTTTCTAAAGAAATCGGCAAATCTCTGATGTACATCAAAATAATGTCCAAGCCCTTTTATAGCATTTTTACTTTTAACTGAACAGATTCTAAACTGTATTACTCTTTCCTTAATCTAGTGAATTGCCTTAAAAATTCCTAAATTGTCCTATCCCTTTTATAAGATCCTTACTCATGGGTTTTGTCTCTGTAGAAAATCCTTGCTTCACAGCTCAAATCTCTCAATATAATTGCCTTAAAAATCCCAAAATGTCCCTTCCCTTTTATAAGATTCTTACTCATGGGTTTTGTCTCTCTAGAAAATCCTTGCTTCACAGCTCAAATCTCTCAGTATAAATGCCTCAAAAAATATAAAAATCCTGTTTTAGGGTGTTGTGTTTGAATGATTCCATCTGGTCATCGTTTAATAAGGAGATCAATTAACATAAAGATGACCAGTGACCAGAGAAACAGGATGTCATTAATCTGGTTCAATAGTTAATCTTTAATCTTTGATGACATTTGCTAAACATCTGGGGTATATTAACATCTTTCTGGGGTTCCACTCCCTGTCTTAACTCCTTATTTCTTAATCTCTCCCTTTCATCTCTAACATTGTGGAATTAAGTGACAACAGATCTAGATAACATCAGTTTTTATTATGTCGAAATTATATCTTTTGTGACAAAGGTGAATTAAATGAAATTGGGTTTTGAGTCAGCTAAATCTATTTGTTAAGGCTAGCTCAATTTGTGTCAATGTTACTGAGATGTAAGCAAGGTTAGGGCATGTGATTGTTGGTTAGGGTTAGGGTATGCATTGGGGCTAGGTCCAGGGTTAGGGTTAGGGTTGGGATTAGCTAGTCCTACTTTTCTGCACCAACCGGGCAAAGAAAGACGAGCATACATATCGAAGCTCTTATTTTTTGGCAAAGATTATCTGCGATATCAGCCCCTGGTGGAAGTGAATGTTAAAGCCAACAGTGCCAACACACACATGTGACAAGGATGGTCACACCACATCTCATGTTCATATATAACTAGCAAAACTACCTCTGAATTCAATACTTATTCTTGGATTATCGTCCTTATTTCTTATATATAAGTTTATCAATTAATTCAATATATTTGATACTATACACTTCATTTTTACATAATTCTTAAAATTAATGTTTATTTGTTTAAATTTACTGAGAAAAAGATTCCAAACATTTATTATTGAATAAAAGATTGCTATGCACTATCTCTTAGTCATTGTATGCAATATACAAAATAATACACACTGAAATACATGGTGTATATCATTATTCAATACATCATATATCACACATAATACACAGGGAATAAAGGTGGTGTATATAAAGTGTGTATTATTGTATATACTGATACAATATACATGTAAGTCATGTTAGTTATTCAATCAAAATACTAAGCATGGATTATGTGTGTATTGCATGATTAATAAACTACAACTCATGTTTTTTTAATATACCATGGATTACATGTGTATTGCATGGTTATTATATTATGGTAATAGCAATGATTACTGATTGCATATCACCCAAGGTGAAAGCGAAAAATTGAGTTTTAATAACAAACAAGTAGGCCTATATTAACCATGCATTAATACTAAAAAAAAGTTTAGTATTTTAAGCTTCTTGATTGTAGTATATCAACCATTTTATTTCTATGCAATTCATGGTGTATTAAATAGCAAACATTGTAGTGTATAAACCATTTAATAGCATCTAATACATGTTTAGTAATTAACCATGCAATACACATGGAATTCATAGTGTCTGTTTAGTAATTAACCATGCAATACACATGTAATTCATAGTATCTGACCAGTAGTATATCACTATGTAATACATATGTAATTCATATTAGATGGAATCCAGGATGGATTATGCTATTTGCTACTGAATATTCATTCGATCCAACAGAGTCCATCATTAGTCAATAATAAGTACATATTCTTTCCAATAAGAGAAATTCAATATATACCTCAAAATTAAAATTTGTATCAAATGTTAGACTAAAGATAGAATTTATTTCTTTAATGATACGACTAAACATTATTAAATTCAACTTCATTGATTATTCATATTTTCTTATTTTTAAATCTAAGACGCTCCCATTAGTATTTAACTCAAATTTATTGAAAAGTTGCAAAATCCAATATGAATAATGTTTCAACCATGCCTGTTACATTTCTCAATCTAATTCAATCTTTCTTTCTTTTTTCTAAGTCCAAGAATTATTATAATTAAATGCTATTAGACTGTGGTCATGGATGATTAGGTATCCTAAACCCCCAGTTAAACGTTCGATTTTGAACTCATTTCCTGAAAATGACAAAATTCCATCGTTGTATCCTTCAACAGGTTTCATTGAAACTAAACTATGACTGAGAGATTGAGCCACGTTATCTGCGGCGGATTCTATGAGCAATAAGCGGCCTGGTTTAAGACTTGTAGAAAATTGTTATTAATTATTGATTGCTTTTTATTATCTATAAGAAAACTAACTGGCCATTTAGAAAGTAAACTTAAAGTAACTTAGATTGAGCAACAAGGAAAGAAAGAAACCACTCCAAGACTTTAAGCGCCATTCAATAAGTACATGGCCAGAAATCGATATCACACGATACCCTTAATCAAATAATTGTCGACAATAGTAAAGCGTGTCTCTTACTTGCAATCCTGAGTCATATGGCATCAAAACACGGCTCCACAAACTTATCCAGAAAACTTTTAAAAAATGGTATGGGACTTCCAGTTTTAGACACCCTCGCGACAGAAGCACCGGAACTGTATGACTATCTCGTCGTTAACTGCGTGCGTTGTGTATATATACGGCCCCCTTGTC